AGCAAATAAAAATTTTTTTCCGAGAGTATATGCAAGCTTGTAGAACGTTGGAATAAGTTCATTGAAAAACAAGGGGACTATGATGTAATTATACGTTCTCTACTATTGTTCTAATAAATTATAAAAATAGAGTGCGGATAATTATTGACACCATCGCATATAACGATGATCGAAATATAAAACAAATTTTGAAATTATTATTTGATATTGTAAGAATTAAATATTAATAGATTATCAATAAATGTTTAAGAATTGATAGATCTAAATATAATAAATATCACAGCAACTACTAATAGATCAACTGAGCTGTACGAAAGAATTCAATCTGACACAGAAGAAATACGAGCCGGTCATATGATTCTTAGCGCGATTAGAGAGAGAGAGAGAGAAAGAGAGAGAGATAAGCTCCAAGTGGACCGCATTATCTGCTGTCAATTCATTTCAAGAAATGCTTATTCAAGAGCATTGTGCGCTATATTGTGCGACTTCGAATGACATTTATGTTATTTGATATTAAATTGACAAGAAAAAAAAGGCAAGATAATTCAATCAACAGTTATTGCAACCTTAACAAAGAATTATATCAAGTCCGGGGTATTAAATACAGATCGTCTAAGTTGCGATTATATGAGGGCAATATAATGATATCATTACACATCGGTTTCGGACTGTTCTGGAAATCATTGAAGACAGACAATGACTAGAAAAATTATAACTAGAATTTATATTGTTAATTTTAATATTGTACACAATACGCACGCACAAAGTAAATATAAATTATACATATATATATAGATAATACATATAATTTATATACAATGTACGTACATAACAAACATATATTTAATTATATACATAATATAAATATCTAATAAATAAATAAAATTTATATAACATTGATTATAATATATATGAACAACAATTAAGCTATTAATAATTTATGGCAGAATTCGAGATAATTTTTACGAAAAATATTATTATTATCTTTATTGCAATCAAGCAAATATACGTTGCAATTATTGTATCAGCAATAACGAGTTTAATTCATTTCTGATGCTGTTACAGGAATGAAACGGAATCTCGGCAATGGCAATGCTGGCTAAAGAACAAATGCCTTAGCTGAAAGCAGATTAAAACAGATGTGTAAAGCGGTGTGCGTCTGATATATACCGTCGATTGATATCGCGGTATTGTCAACACGATTGATGTTAGCCGACGCATGTGCTGGAACTTTCGTTCGCGGTAAAAAATGCCGTAGCCGTGACGTTATTGAGCACAACTGCCGATCACGACAAATTTTTGAATATGCGAAGCAAGATGGACAATATATACAAGCTCTAAATACGTTACGATTTTTACGTATTTAAAGAGAGACTAGAGAGTTTATGTTTCCAAAGAATCGGTAACGATTGTCACTTCTCTATTGTGCGCGTATCTATTCTTAGATTTATCTCACATCCTGTTTCGACAAAATGCGTTCAATAAACGAAAGGATTCATCAGCGTATGACATCAGCAGACGGATCGAAATTTATCGATGAAATTTAGACGACTTAGGGCCGGTATCACAGTCTCCGATTAACGTGATCCTCCGATTAAACTCACTCTTCGTCTCTTTCTAGGGGGACAGTTAGAAAGAGATGCAGAGTGAGTTTAATCGGAGGATCACGTTAATCGGAGACTGTGATACCGGCCCTTACAAAAAGACGTGGGACGTGGATAAAATTTACAAAGAGAAAAAATATCTGGTAGCATTATATCGATGAGTCATTGCATCTGACAATAGTAATATCAACAATTGCGTAAATAAACTCGAAGTCACAGCGAATGCTGCATTCAGCAGCAGGACAAAGCATAGCAAAGTTTATACACATACACACACACACACACACACACATATACATTTCGTTTTATCTTTGCTACACATAATCTGCACCGAATTGCAATAATTAAATACTGACCGATCGCGTTGGCGAAATGAACTTTCTTCTCGGGTATCGTATTCTCCATCGTTGTCCGAAGCTCTTGATGCAGATTTGACACTCTCGCGCTCGTATGCACCAACACCCAGTTGGACCTATATATACTAGTTGTATGACGTAATCCGTTCTGCACGCAATGATTGTCTCTCGAATACTGAGGGGAAGACTACTGAACGCTTCCCGAAGAACACTATGCCACTAGGCCACTATGGCTACTCTCAAGGAATCCCTGCACCCTGCACTCCTTGCGGTGCACGTGGGTGGAAGGGTGGGAGAAGCAGATGAATATGGTCCGAGTGTGCGTCGCTGTATATGCTTGAGAAAAAAAATATTTAGAAACGAAAGCGATAAAGATAACCGATATATAGCAGGCAAACGGGTCAGAATGGACGTGCCTTGCATTAATGGCATATATTTTTTTAGGATGTACTTATACCTTTTTCGTCGTAAAATGAAAATTTACGATCGACGAGATTCTGATGAAAAAAATTTCTCAGATGCTTTCAGAATTAATTGAATGAGGATTTTCGGAATATTTCAGTATCTGTATGTATGAAAATTTCTGATGAATTGCATGGATTTCCTCATATTTATTCAGATTTCTATAAAAAGAAAGATGTATTGGCGGGAGAGAAAAATTTGAAATATTTCATTATTATTATTTTGTCTGAGTTTTTCTAAAAAGTAAAAGTTCCAATTCGTATAAAAAATCTGAAAAAATTTTAAAACTGAGAAAATCTTAAAATTTTCATAGAAATTTTTCTACCAGGGATGAAATATAAAATGCACACAATGAGAGAGACTTTACGATTAAGAATTCTCGATTTTAAAAATTTATAACATCAGTATAGTATACATAGTTATATACTATAAGGTGGTTCAGGTTTTAACAATAAAATTGCGCTAATGTTCTTTATGAGTAAACATAAGAAATAAATGTTATACGTATAATAAAAGTTTTATTACAAATTTACAACAAAAAAATAAAAATAAAAAGTTGCGTAAATGAAAAAAAATCTGTTCTTATTATTAATAAGGTACAGTATGATTTTATTGATGTTAATTATTTAAAAAATATCACTTTATCCTTTATCTGAATAACGTCAATTCCATGAAGCACATACACGCAGTACAGGAAATTAATTACTTTTCATAAAGAATTCTACAGACTGATAAAATAACGTTTACGGAGAGAAATATATATATATATTTTTCCTAATGAATATGTCAAAATATGTGAATATGAGTGGTTATCCGTCGCAATCTCTTGACCTCTAAGATCACTAATTTTATAGCAACTAGATTTTTACATTTTTTTTATATAGAAGCTTTCATAGACCTACATTCTTTTTTATTTTCTTCGTATAGAACACTGATGCAGTGATGCAGTTTGGCCGCAACTTTTAAACTCTAAGACACCCCGTATATCAATATACATGCAATAGCAAGGCGATAAAATATTAATATCCCACGTTTTTTAAATAATTATAATTGTAATAATTACAGAAAGAATTAGAAATTATTAAATTATCATTTAAGGAAAAAAGTCTTTTTATATCGATATTTTATAATTTTTCTGATAAAAATCAGTTTTTTATTATAACGATAAAGATAAATTATTTCTTGGAAAGAGATAAGCAAGGAATATCAATAATGCTACAAGTAGTGATGAATGTTTTTCCAATTTGATATCGACATTTACGGAATATCCCTATAAGAATATCATATCTATCGTGTTACCACAACAAATTTTATAATTATAAAATTCATTCGAATCTAGAGACATTTTCAACTCAAATGCTCTCTAGGGAAATGTTAATTTTTATACAATGGTACACTCGTAACGTTCTGCTGTAATATGAATGTTATAAATATGAGATAGCACCATAATATGAATTTAATAAGTAGGGGAAATCCCTTTTCTTACTGTACGTAAATATAATATTTTCTAACGTGTATGCATATATAAAATTAAAAGGTCTGATTCTGTTATTCGATTTTTTGCATTAAATTGAATGTCACAACATATAATATAATGATTTTCGTGTGGATTGAGGCAGTTGGAAAAGATTGTGTATCACATGTAATCCTTTTCATAGATGTATTTTTTATTTCCGAATATTATATCTGGCGAATAATAATGATTACTTAAATATATATAAAGTCATGTATTACGATGAATGAAGCAAACATCACTATGTACATATAAATATTACATGATTCGCTATATCGCATTCTATCGGAATGCACTCTACAAGTGGCAGCTTATATAATCTACGCGCGAAAATTGTTTAGCGTACTAACTGCGAGATATTGTTAAAACTTTTACTTTCAACATTCCCTTTCAACACTATATGGAAAACGGCGCACTCTGTTAAAAATTCAACATCTGAATTTATCGGACAATCTAACATCAGCTTGTAGCAAATAGTGCTATTAGCTTACTTATACATGTGCTTTGTATTATAATATGACGCGCAAATCGGTCCCGTGTGCGCTGTCAATTTTCGTAAGGCGAACATACCTGAACATCGAGGACGATCAACGGGACCTAGAATAATCTATTTACGAAAGCAATTATTTAGGAAAGTCACACAGGAAATGTCGCCAGTAGAAACGATGTTGGATTCATAATTTCTTCATGATCCGATCGTTTATAACGTCATATTGAAAAAATCTTTTTTTTTTATCTTGCCTCTTTCTTAATTACATTTATATTTTATTTCAGCCATATTTGAGACGTTCAAAATGACCTTTACTGGAGATATACTTCTTTTATACGTTTTTTTTTGTAGGATACATGTATTTTTTTGCGTCAATTGCTGAAAATAGCAGAATCAATGAAAAATATCCACAAAAGGAATGGAAGATGGAGGAAAATTATATATAAAAATCGCTAGTTGTTTAATATAAAAAAAAAATCTGTCGGAGATATTCTCAACCGTTTATGGGCATAAAGTATTCGTGTACTAGGCAGTTTAATATCTGTATTATTCTTATTATTACGATCAAGCAACTACTTGGAGAATTCAGCTATTCTCAATTAAAAAAAGCTTATGGAAGTTCTTACTGGCGAAATGTCTTCTAGGAAGATCTCTTTTATCGAAAAACCTTATTAGTAATCTATAGTGGAAAAAGTATCGTATTATGCACGAGAAATCTGGAACACGTTGCTTGTCGAGAGATTTGATCTCTCTATGTCGAATCTCTCGTCGCAATATCTAATATGCATACGCGTCAATATATAGGCTACTTGTAAAAAGCAGATGCAATACGCAAACGGAACTTGATAAACACTAACAAGAATATATACAACTATCGGAATATTTTCACTGTCTTCATAAATGACATGTCCTGAAAACAAAATCATGGGCCCGTATTCTTATTGCACATTTAATGTTAAATGTTTTATGTCCACAATCAGTACGCGCTTAGAAAATTATACAGACCGAAGTATTATTCTCGCAGGCGAGGATCATCATTTGTTATTGCTTTCTGAATACAAGTTTGGATAAAAAATATGTAAATATATAGAAGCAAAAATCTTAGTGAAGACAACCGTGTTTTAAAATTGTTTGTATATTCTTAATTTTTTTATATAAACAAAAAGTAGGAAGGAACAGAAAAATGGAAAGGAAAAAAAGAGGAAAAGAAGGGAGAGAGAGGAAGAAAAAGAGAGAAAGAGGTAAGGGAGAAAAAGGGGAAAGCCACATTTAATACTAAATGTGCAGCGAGTATGCTTCAAATGCCTACTGAACATTAGCAAATCTATCGCATATTTCACATGGACAATGAACATCATTCAATATGCACTGATAAGTAACTGTAGCGTACACTGAGAATAATCGAAATGTTAGAATGGAAAATTATTACTTCAATAAAACTTCAATAAACTACACCGTTTGATTCATTTTCAGATCAGTGTTATGCTCGGTTGCGTCTTCCATCGAATATCTACACGATTCAACATCCTCCGCGTTCTCTTCTATCTTAACGGAGTCGTCAACCACACGATCATTTCCGGTCTTACACATTTCACCCGATGTGGTTATATTATCTTCAGTTTTGATTTCTTGCTTAAAGGTAATTGCCTGCTTCCTGGCCTTAGTTTCCCTGTTGGTGTCTGTTCTCTCCCTCTCATACATAAACGTTTTCCGTTTTCTTCGCATTGGCTTACACACCTTTTTATACAGCACATTCATCTCTTTTACTCTACTGGTCGGGATCGTCCAGTCCATCTCTTTAGCCGTTGTGTCGGAATTTCGTGTTGGATCCATGCCGCTTTCATATTCCGGAATTTCCAGTCCCAATTTTTTCATGACCGCCACCATTACCTCGTCGACGTTGCCGTTAATGATTAAGTCAGCTTTCTTATCCTACAAATACGTTTTTATTTTGATGGTGAGACCGCAAAAGACCTTATATGCTTTTCTAAATTTATGGCGTGTATAATCTTACATGTTTTGTTGGTTGCAAATTACATATAACGAGACGACCTCCGTATTTTTTCGTATATAAAGGCAGATTACCACTTGGAATAATTTGTAACGTCGTTCCCAGACATATACTTAAATCGGCGACACTAAAAGAACGTCGGCATAAACATTTAATATTTAATATCGAAATGTATAGCGCGCTATTTTCAAGTATTTTCGAGAAATTTTATTATAGAACCTGAGACATTCCGCAAGTCATACTAAAATCATGTGCGCTATTATATTTATAGCTTTAATATAATCCTTGATGTACAGATGTTATAAGGTTTGCACACTTCGAGTTTATCATAATTTCAGCTACTTTGAATATTACTACGTAATATTATAATGACTCACCTGGAGTGAAGATCAGACAGTGTCAAGTCGCTGTCTGGCAAATTATGCTCCCAATCAAGAATGGTATCGTGCATTCGGCCACGGCACGGACGACCGCCTATTTGCTCCGATCTGCATACAGTATCCAACGACTTTTTTCCCACGCTTTTGGTCGCAAAATTACGAATAAATTGCCTGCAAAATATTTTTAATTCCCAGTACTTCCAATGTTTTAATATTCTCATCATAATAAAGTCTATATACGTTGCTATAGTAATTAAACTTTTTTTCTCATATTTATTGTTTATTCGATAAAATTTTTTCAGCAAAATTAAGTGTAACCATACAATTAACTCTAAACAATTTATATACTTTTTTTATCGCGTTCTCTTATGTATTTTTTAAATTATGTCTTTACATGTATGTACAAACCTGCCACACTTGTCACACTGCTCTGTAAACATGTTTCCGTGCAACTCAGCAAGGTACTGCCTTTGTATTCCTGATCGTAGATGCAGCCCATCTATATTCTGACTTATGATAAACTTTACTCTTTCTAAATTAAAAAAAAAAAAAGGATTATGTAAAAAGAGAAAGAGGAAAAAGAAAATGCATGTTTATAAAGAGAATTTTGGACGTTCTTTTACGGTCTATTTGCGAACACTTACTGGCCTCTATCAATTTTTTCAATGCCATGTGTGTCTTTGTAGGAATTGCCTCGTCAAAAGAGATGTTCATGGAAGGTTTCAAGCCCTTCTGCTCCAATGTCCAAACACCATTTGTACCCCTAATGCACAAAAAAAATGTCGCTCATATTGGCCAATACAAACATGTGTGTTACATTCTATTTGCTCAATTTACAAATAACTACAAACTTAGTATATTTAAATTTCTTATAATTTTCCTTTTTAATTTTAAATATTCTCTCGCATAATGAGCATTATGTAATCACGAGACTTGAGACATAAAGTCTTTAGACAAGTTATAAAAGTATGTTTATACGTTGGTGCACTGTATATTTAAAAATACATTAGAATGCTGCCCGAGATTTTCTTTTACAAAAGTGCACAACAACTTGGAGCACTGTTACATGTGTTCAACATGTTCCTATCTCGTACTACTTAATCTTCAAAAAATTCCTTCTGCGTCTTCCCTTTACTGGGATACGTTAAATCGCAGTCTTCGGTGAAAGCTAATTAAAGGATAGGAAGATGGACTGGAGTGATCTCAGGTGCGAAATTCATGATCTCGCGAGTAAAAACGGCAGTTGCGAGATAGTCACCGAAAGTCGGGGATACCAGCCGCGGTGCTGATACCGGCGCCGGTGTGGACGACGACGTGACGCGCGCCTTGTATCCATTCGGCCAGGAGACCACATTTCAAGCGTAGAGTCTCGACGCTGTCGTATCTCTGCAAGCAGACAAAGAATGAGGAAGAAAAGAAGACGAAGAGAGAGAGAGGGAGGAGAAAAAAAAAATAGAGCGCGTCGCTCGACGACTCCGGCGACGGAGGGTAAAACGCCATCGCCGCGTTTACCCACGCGTCGCGACGTCGAGAGCAAAAGTGGAAGAAAGGAAAAATATATATATATCCCGCCGAGAATTCTTTTTTTGTTGTGTTTTTTTTTTTTACCTCCTCCAGTCCCAGCACTCCTTTGTTTTCGTACGGCGATAACCCGTCCGCGTAGCTCGATGACATTTTTGCGCTTACGCGAGTCCCGCGGTGAGTCCCGTCGCCCGATATCCGTAATCACGACGCCTCGAGGGAACGCCACGAACGGCGATACGTGCCCGTCGTCTCACGCGTAGCGGTCCCGACGCGATTTTCTAGCCGCGCTCCGGCCGACCTCCCATGTGCCCAGACGAATACGTAAACAATATGAATCGAGAGCTAATGACCGCGTGCTGTTATGTTTATACGCTACGAATGACGATAAGTGATAGGAAACTCGAGACCCGCGGAGAACGCATTCTGTTTTATAGACTGCACTGCATGCAACGAAATGGCACTTGAACAGAAAGAAGATAATAAACCCCCCGGGGCATGCGCCCTGAGCCGCGCGCCGCAGGAGCGGCGGTCGGTCGGTGTCGTTCCGGACGCCCGCGCCGCGGACGCTCCGGTTCGTCTCGCGTCTATTCAATTCATGCACGAGCCATCGACATCGATCGAGCCCAAAGGGCGGGAATTTCAAAACAAATCGGCGAAACGCTGGCGCGCCGCTCCTCACGTTCACCACGTATTGCATGGCCGTGGAAAGCTATGGAATCTGGAAATGATTTTATTATCAATATTTTGCATCGGTTATTAATATTGACTTTTCTGTCTTTTTCGTAATAAAGATATCTGAAAGACCGATAAGCATTTCGGCTTTATTATAAAAAATTAAAAACTTCTTTTCTTCGTCAGTGAAATTTAATAAGCGGTATTATTTGACCAAACTGTTCCTCGTTGCGATATATTATTATGTAATATGACTTCGTAGGTTTAGTACTCTGGATAAGGACACAAAACGAGTGTCGAAACGTCGAGGATTTAATTAATGTAAAGCGTCAGTTTGGTCAAATAATACCGCTTATTTATTATAATAATAGATAAATATATAATATTTTAAGTTTTGATTCAAAATATTTCTCTCATCTCATCAGGGACAAGCGTGAATTTAATGCGCAAATTTGCACAAAATTGAACTTGACTGCGCTCGATCGACTGAAACAGAATTGTGCAGTTTTTTAAATTGAATAACTATAACGATAATTTAAAAGACAAAGTTTATTATAGTATGTATCACGTTTCGTTCGAATATAGAGAGAAAGCTTAGTTCAATTTCAAGTTTTCATTTGTCTTACTGTAAATATTTAAAAAAATGCACCACTTTTTTTGTCTAATTTTGTTGGACTCGAGAGGCGCAAAACAGAAGAAGTCTTACATACTTGTTTTATGAAACGTAAGGAAAAACGAGACGAAAGAGCTGACTCCTTAGAGGAATACCACAAAAGAATATGCTCCGATTTTAAAGAATCGAACTCGGAGATGAATATTAATTGTGATAACATTTAGAGAAATGAGCGTATGTTGTAAAGACTTTTACATGCAGTAAAAGTCTTTGTTTCCTTCGAGCAAATTTATGGACACATGATAAAGCGAAAATATCCTCATTTCAACCTCGGCGCACGTATTTCTCTCAAATAAAAATTTCTCGGCATCGCGGCAGATCAAACTCCGATTAATTTTATCGACAGTTAACTTGTCAGAAAATACAGTATTTTATTAATACATGCAGTGGAATTGTTAGTTCTCTTTTGTAATTTGGCACTAAAAGAAGAAAGAAATTAGTCCCTTTTTGTAATTTGAAAAGGATTGAAAAGGATAAAAAATTGGAATTATATTAATTATACAACTAATTGTAAACATTTTATTTAGATATTTGACGTTGGTTAAAGTGCAATCTAATCAAAGTTTGTTTTTGATCATCGATCGAAGTTTGATTAAACTCGATCGCCGAAGCGATTCTGAGGATTGTATCGAAGGAGCGCTCTGGGTAAAAAAAAAAAACAAGAAAAAAATAATTATGCAACTCGCCATAAGATTCCACGAGACGGAAATGGACGTAGGGGGCGTCCCGCGTCCACCCTCCGTCGCTCTCGCTCACAATCCTCCTCGATTCCCGCCGATCTGCGCCGATCCTCGGCACTAGGGAAAGCTCCTCCCGCACGTGCTGCCGCCTGCCGTTCGGCGGTCGCGTTAACGCGCTCCGCTCGAGTGTGTATACATTCGAGTACATATGTACTTGCTTGGCCGAGTGAGGGGGAAGTGAACGCGCGCCGCAACGAAGGAACGAAGAAAGATGCGGGGCGCCAGGAGAAAAAAGAAAGCCCACCACCACTGAGGGCACTGAGTGACTGAGTAGCTCCAGATCGAGCATGCGGTCAGTCGAGAGGGTCGAGAGAGACGTTGCGTCGGTTCTCGCGTACAATCGGCAGGTACACATACCTGTGCGTCTATCGAGAAAGAAAGAGCGGGAGAGGGAGAGAGCGAGTGTGAACGAGAACAAACGAGCCGCGCGGCGAGTTGGGCGCGTTACGTCGTCGATGCGTGCGACCAGGTGATTCAAGAAACACTCCCCCTCTCCTTAGTTTTCTCTCTTCTCTCTCCCTCCCACCCTCGTGCCACATTCTTTCTCTCTCTCTCTCTCTCTCTCCGTCTCGCTCATCCGCCCGCTTTCTCCCTCTCTCTCTCTCCCCTTCTTACTCGCACCTACTTCGACTCACACCCTCCCCGGTATATAACCTCAAACCGTCGGCGAGCTCGTGTCGCGCGTCGCTCGCCGTTAACGCCGTGTGTTTTTCGGCCGCGGCTGAACCGGGGGTTCCGGATGTGCGTGGCGCGGTTCCTGCTGTCGCAGCGGGTGTTAGTGAGCTCCGGCGGTTTCTCACCACATGCGACTCGTAAGTACTCTGTACTCTCTCGTCGGTATTTTCTTTTTTTTTCCTCTCCCTCTCGCGCCTCCCCCATTCTCTCGTGCCCCGCGGTCGCCGCGCGTCCTCGACGCGGTTTTTCCTCCATGCCGGGCGTCCGCGAAGTCCCCCCCGGCGATTTTTCGCGCGAGTTACCGCGCGTGAATTCCGCTGGCGGGCCCCCCGGCGCGGGCGTGCTTTCGGGGACGCCGTCGAGGATACTACCCCCCCCCCCCGGCCTTTCCCTCCGGCGGTTTCCACCGGGCGTTTATCGTCCGCGCGTCGTCTCTGCTCCCTTTTTTCTCCCGTCCCCCCTTTCTCCGAGCGAAGGAATTTCATTTCACCGAGAGCGACATCTCATCACGCGTTCACCGTTCGGACGTTAAGACCTTTGGGACGCTGGCTCCTGGAACGCCGCTTTTAGACCCGCGCGCGTGCGGAACCGCGTTCGAGTTGAAAGTTTTTCTAAAGCGATGTAAAGCGAAACCGGAAAGCGCGTTTATTTTAAGTGGAACGAAGACGAAGACGATCGGGGCGGGTGCCTTTGCCCTCGAGGAAGAGCGTATGGGCGTCCCTTTGGCGAATGGTATTTTTGACTTTTGACCGGAGTAAACATTTTTTCTCGCGCTCCTTCGAATTAGGCCTGTTCGTCTTTGCTCAGCTTCTTGTACGATTCATCTTTCCCCCTTTTCTTTTCACGTTCGAGAGAAGAGAAAAAGAGATGAACTGTGCGAGAAGTTCAGCGAAAATGAAGACAGGCCTGTTGTTTTCCAGAGTTTTGTGCCTCTCGGTCCTTCCGCTCTTTCCAGAGACAGAAAGCAACGATCAATTATTTTGTTATTATTAATTTGTTATCAATTTGTCTGATCATTTATGGCGAGACACGATCACTGTTAATTTATTTCGACCAAACTTTGACTAGCTTATCAACACCTGTTTATTAACACGGACGCAATTGTTAATTTTTCATTGTCCGACATGTGCAGAAAGAGAGACTCAATTAGCGACGAATTACGTGCCCGGAAATTTTGCTCGAGTTATTCTGCGCCGGACGAATTAATCGCTCCATATGTTAAAGGGTTTCCGTGTTTCCCGAGTCTTGTAAACGAAAATATTCTCCCACGTTGCGCCTTCACGAGCGCGTATTTTTTCCCCAAAACGAAAGTTTTCTACATTCGGGCTTCGAGCGCGAAATCTGCGATCTCTCCGAATAAACAGAATAAATGAAGATGATCAGAAGCGGTAGCGCGTTTGCTCGACGGGCGCTAAATGACGTGCTAAATAAACGAGAATGCGGGCTTTGTGTGCGATAAGGAAAAATACGCGTATATTTTTCCGTATTGAATAACGATCCGGCGGTTCGCGCTATTCGACGACGTGACAAGGTCGCGCTACTTTGCGTAAATTGCTCAAGAATTGTTGCGAAAGAAAACAATTACTTATCTAGGATGAGACTCGAAAATCAATAATATCGTGCACGCAGGTTTGACCAAGAGTCGCGCGTATACGCGCCGCGCCGGGGGCTCGCTCTTATCTAGTTACGGCACAGTCCCTGCCCTTTTCGCTTGATGTCATAACAAGCAAACATACGGAAAGTTTATTTTGTACATATACGTATATATGGAGTAGCATCTTAAGACGGATGCTGCCCCAAGGACAGGCATCTCAACAGATTTTGTCTGGATTCTTCCGCCAGGAAAACTGTTTCACATTTTATGCAAAATAAACATTGGAACATATGAAAATTTTTGTATAACAATTAAAAAAATTATTATATACACTATAGAAAATTTTTGTGTAATTAAAAAATTATTTTATATAATAATTTTAATTGTTAGACAAAATATAAAATTATTATATCTTCTAAAATTCTAAAGATTTGTGTCAGTTTCATTAAATTGATTATCAATTTTATTATGTAATTGTACTATTCTAGCTTCAGTTTGTGATTGCGTTCCCGCGAAGATCGTAAGTAACGGCGCGTGGTTTGCTAAGACGAGGAAATGTCTCGGGAAATGTACATAAAATTCATCGCGATTAATATTACTAGGCACAAAAAGATCCAGCCTTATGGCTTATTTCTACTTGTGTTATCTACATATCGGTCAAGTTTATTTGTACTAGATTGTATATATATATATATATATAAAACAAATGTTAAAATTATACTTATTACATTAACGTCTAATTTTTTTATTTTAGAATAATTATAATATTAATATAATTTGGCTATTTTAGAATAATATTGTTATATTAATATATAATGTTATTTTAAAATAATAAATAATTGTGGTGTAAATATTAATTATTCTTATATATATATATTTTATAAATAGAACTGTTATTTCCCGTTTATTCTTTCCGATTATTAATTTTAGACGATGTCACATTTAAACATCGTTATGCTAAACATCTCATCATTTCTCTGCGACAACCACGTGAATTTGATAAGGCACGTTTTTTTCCGCAGTAGTAATCGCGCGACGATAACATTTTATACCTCATGTTTCATAAATAGAAATAAGCTAGAATTTCAACACGTGCGATACACATTCCAGTTTCAAACAGTATTTTAAAATAAAAAATAAGATTTAATGACGAAAAGAAAAATAATGAAATTCATTGTCGCCTAACACGATTTTAACTGCCACGCGACATATCGAGTGGATAATGCAAAAAAGAAACAGAGCAATGCGAAAAGAGGTTTTTAATCGAGTCCGGAACAAATTTTATAACGTGTGAGGAATTTCGATATACTCGCGGTGCGTTCCTAGATCGCGTTCGGGGAAAGTCGACACGTATATTCGATTTCTTCTCTCTCTCATCGTGTATATCGGAGGGAGAATGCTGCGCTTCGTGCGAGTTTTATGCGCGGCATTAGAACTTCGGAACGCCATGAATAAATCATGGATGCAGCCGAGGAATTTTTGTTCCAAACTTTTCGCTCGAAAATTCAATTTTTCAGGGGGTCGCCGCGAAAATTCCGGTTCGATTTTGCGCGCGCGCGCGGACGGCCGCCCTTTGAAGGGATTAACGATAACCACGCCTTGTTGTAGACACTAAAAGCCCTTTTGTACGTAACACGGAATGAAATATTGCCGAGGTAGTGTGCTCGCGTGACATTGAGGCCTTAAGGAGGATCGACCGAAGGATAACTCGGCGAGGTATTCTGATATGTATGTAGATAATAAACCCTACCTGATTAATGCCTGTCACTTCTTCAATCAATGGAATGAGCCCAAAAGCCTGAGAGATTATCCGATATTGCGTAATTGAATTTAAGGACCGTAACTTGTTACACCCTAATGATTATTAATCGCTCTGTGGTAAATAAAGTATTGCCTTTTTTTAAAAAAAACATTGTTTTGAAAATCTTTCCTTTTCGTAGTCATAATTTTTTAAATTGTTATACGAAACATGTAAAATTATTATATTTTGTAATTCTAAAGATTTTTATGTTAGTATAATAAAATAGATTTTCTGAAATCTTCACTTTTGGCAATCATTCTAAATTGAAAATTTTATGAATGTTGTGTCAACAGTTCATACGTCTCGTTTCTATATGTCGAGTATGTACGAGTTCTTCTCTATTTATGGCACGGCCAAGGACGTATTTACATAGAAGCTAAAATTGAAATTTAACATTCGGACTTCCAGTCGCAAAGAAATCCGCAACATTTTTTTTTTTTTGAAATATTTTTAAAGTTACTTTGTAAAGTTGTAAAGTTGGAACGAATTTGTTTTTCTGTATTTAAGTATTTTCCTTAATAACATATATATCCCAAACTTTCTTTTGTTCACATATTTCTTTACTTCTTTGCTGTATTAAAAACAAAAGATACATGGAAATGCTTTATAATTTTGAAACTCGGACTATTTCTCGTAAAAATAACAAAATCTGTTGGGAAGAACTCCGAAATCCGCTTCTTCGATCGTGTTTCTATACCCGAGAAGCAGCACAGAAATTATTGCCTTTATAGAAAAAACAGTAACGCGAAGAAGCATTTTTGGATGCTTTATTCCTTCTTAAGCCGCTCCTGGCAACCGTCGTCCCGGTGCCGGGTTGTTTGGCGACGTTTGGACCTAAGAGATGAAGGGTTGTGCGTCATCACCCAGTTTCAGACGTTCGAGTATGGCAAACTCGTTCGTCGATGGTGTACAATTTCTTTTTTCCTCGCGCGTGCGTGGATCAACACGGCACAATTTTTCTCGACTGATTTTCTAGGGCTGTTTCTGAGGACGAGGAGGAACCTAAGGGCGCGTGTAAGAGGCACGTGTAAGGGTGTATACCACGAATAATCGCGCGTAAATTTTCCGGCCTTCCGCACGATTTACGCAAACAAATTACGCTTCTTATTCGTGTCCCTTCTTTATCTCTATCTTTCGTGGATATTTTATACAACGCAAGAACACGATGAGAAATGAAGCTATATCAATTTTGCGGTACAAAGATATACGCAAAATAATTGAATAAAAGGGGGAAAAAGTCTCTCGCCGTGCAAACTTGTTAGACGGCTCTTATCAGAGTTACGTTACAAAATTTAGGATTTTTATTTCTGATTTTTTTTAATACTTAAAATCTAAGGATTAATTTCTTCTTTTCTCCCTTTTCTTGTATAGTTAATTTTTCCTGTTATTGCTTGTGAAAAGTGATAAAAAAAAAAGTTATTCTTAATTCGAAACGTTACGTAATACTGAAAATAAAGTAACATTGATAAGAAAAAATGTTTAGTAATGTTAAAAAGTTTTGGGTACAAAACTCCACGTTTGGACCTTAATTAGTGCAGGTTTTGCAGAGACGAGGGTTAAGCTGGAGATTAATATGTCATTTATAAAATTGAAAGAAGCTCCGGGAGAGAAAGCCTTTTTATCTTTACGAAAACAATTTTCCCAAAATCTCATGCTTATATCGCAAGCGCGTCTCATGCCAAACTAACTTACGTGAATAAAGTTTCAGAAAAGCTCATCAATTTGATTTTGAAGTGTTAATATTGGCCTGATATATGTGTCGGTGCACAATGAATTCGCGGGATCGATAACGCCAACTCCGGAACCGATGATTCAGGGGATCAGGGATCAGGGCAATCAGCTCTTGTGTGCACAGTATTCCGTTTATTCTAGCGATATGAATAGGCTATATTAACTGTAAAATCCGTCTTGAATCGGAACGTAGGCACTGCGCGTTCAATCAGCTTCTGATTAAGCCTCAGGCCCACACACGAAAACTAATCCGAGCTCTAATTACGATACGACCGTAGAATTGTAACGCAACGATAACGAGATAACGAAATCGCATGTTTTCCCGATCGTTTCTCACCAGTCGGAACGATTGGGCTGCGCGAAAGTTGAATTATCATCTTGCTCTACGAATATTAGAGCGTGAATTGACCGCATGTGCAAGCCGCGCGGGCACTTCTGGCCTAATCGTCTGGAAGTCGCCTAATCACTCGCTGATATTTGTAAACGAGGTCAAGAGAAGACAATGAAATTATCCCACGAGGTCACGTTACCGCAATCGCGATTAGTTATAGTAGCAATACTCCTATAGATCTCAACTCTCGAACGACGAGTATCGTTCGCTATATTTCATAAAAAAAGGGGTCAGATTAATTGCATGTATAGATGATAAGATAAATTCATAATTGTCGATAATTATCTTATCTTTTCGTTATCCCACGTGGCATCAGTTGTCGAATGGACAACAAAGAAAAAGCGAGATAATATCTGAATTTATCACGTTCGTTATATATGTGAATTTTTTTTCGTTGCATAGGAAGTGTATCCAATTTTTATCTGCCGGGTATTTCCCCGAATAAAGATTAACGCGCGATCCGTCCGAGTTTCACAACAAGAAGATAATTACAAAAACGCGAGTAGCCCGTGCTTTCCGGGCGAGATGCTCTATCTTTAATGTTGGATCCTACATTACAGCAACACGAAGCCATACGAAGTGGATTATCTCGATTAAACACGAGGTTTCTTGCTCATAGCTTATGCAGATTGCCGAGGATCTGCTTAGGAAACGTAAGCACACACACGCACACACATATATATGTCTGTGTGTGTGTATATATATATCGGGCGATATTGTCGATATGACCGATACTATCCGGTCGTCATCCGGCATTAGCATTCCACGTGCATTCTTGATATTCGATCTCGGTCTCACATACGTGAGGAGATTAGAAATAGATACTTTAAAGTGTTTTCACTCTATTGGCTGGGGCTTAATTCACCTCCAATATAGAACTGTGTCTACGTAAGAGATGCAATGGTGGAACGTACAGACGCACGTACATAGACGCTCATATACACACACACACACACACACACACACACACACACACACACACACACACACACACACACAATTGCACACACGTGCAGCAGCAGCAGGCACTAGAGCCTAGTTTCGCCGTTAGAAATTAAAAAATTTATCTACCAATGATGTTTGTCGTGGTTTAACATGTCTCGGTTTGACTTCAGGCTGACCTTAACTGAAGTCGATTAACAAATCGATCGAACGGCTTTTTCGTCTTAATAACGCACCGCCCCGTTTCTAATGGACACCAGTCTGGTACTTACGACGATGCGAAGTAATGAATTCATTACGTGCTAATCGACCGTCGCTATTCGTTCGTGAACTTCTCCGTGTCCTTGACGTACGACTGAAAAATATATAGCACAAGCTGCTTCGAAATTATATAGTTGCGATACGGAGCATGTCACGTCTCGTCACAACTCGTGCTGCGTGTTTTGTCATCAAAAACAACAAATACCGTTAACTTGAGTATTTTCCCATTATTTTTCGTAAGGGTGGGACGGCAATGCCTATCAGAAGTATTTTACAATAGAAATAAGAAAGTCTATAGAATTTACTATAGAATATACTACTATAGAAATAAGAAACGAGAAATGGCAAACGAGCCGATATGAAGATAGATATGCGTAATACTTCGCGTGACTTAATGAAAAATTGCAAGGTAAAAACTTTTAATGTGACAATCAGGATACGATGCACTTGAGCAAATGACAAATTCAGTACGATGTATTACTATTTTTTATTCTGAATAACCAATTTCCGGGATTATGAATAATATCTTTATCAGATAACATTCCACGTTCAAATTGAATGGCATAATGTCGCGATCTATTATCTATTGGGGCCGATTGCGAGAGCTAACATAAAAGTCGTGTAACAGTTGTCGCCTGTTTGCGCTCGGAATTAGTTCTCCCGTAAGTCTACTAAAATCTACGAATGCACCATTGTTGTGTTGCGCTCATCTGGCTTGTTAAAAGAAAACTTTTATCGATTTTCCCCGCAGAGTTACTTTTGCAGTTTATACGAATATTGTTGCAAGAGCTCGTCCGCGGTTTCTGAGTAAAATTGGTTTTGCAATTTAATTCGATTTTACAATTTAACTTGCGCAAGCTCCCCACGCATGTAATTTAAAGTTATACCTTTATTACATTAATTCTCGCCGAACATAAATTCTCCCCCCCAATTACGCTGTCATAATTTTAGATATAAATAAATAGCTTAACGAATTTCTAATTTTGTTAATGCAAAAACGGATTTTCGTATTTTACTACATACCTACTAAATGTGTACTTTATATAAATTTCAATTTCAAGCTTACTCAGCCGTTATCAAGCAACGTTATCGCTAAGGGATTTCTATACACAGGCGTTATAAGTATGTAGACGCTATAGCTTTCGTAAATATTTGAGTTTTCCAACTTGTAATAATTTAGTAATATGCTACCTTGTTTCAATACTTTTCCCTCTAAATGAGTTTTAGATTCCTTATATTTCGATTGATCGATAAAAAGGTTGTTTATTTATTTAAAATAAAAGCGCGTCCAATCATATAGCTCTATAAGATACATCTAAGGAAATACGTTATAAGTATGAAGTTTATCGTTATCTATTGCAAACAGCGTGTGTATAAACAGTATCAGTACGTGTATGTTGTAATTTCGTACATTCATACTTAATAGCTGCTTCTGGTCTATGCAGGTATCGATACGAAAATGATACTTGTCGAGTAATAAAAGTCTAAATAATCTCTGAATGAATCATCGAATAAGATGCCAGAATCGCCTTCAGCGGATGGCTATCAGTGTCGATAGCTAGTCATACGTTATACCTCGTGCGCGATCCCTCGTGGTATCCATTGATTCGTGTGGGAAACTTCTTGCGAACGGCATTACTTAATACTTCTTAACTTAGCGAGCTCACGAGCTCCGAGTAGAATTATTATTGTTTATGAAACTTTTAAAACTCGCTTCTCCTTGGACGTGCGCGAGAAGTTAATATATACGTAAGATTCTCTCACATACGTGCTTTGGACAATCATTTTTAACAACCTAACACTCCCTTGGCGCTTGATATTTTTTATTATTTCATTAGATGGAGCCATAAACAAGTGAATTGCAAATATATATATATATATATATATATATATATAATTAATTAATATATAATTTAACATACGTACACACGCACTTTAGAGAGCGCTATAAAATTTTTGCTCGTAAAAAAGTATTTTATACATATAGTTTTAGGATAAGAGATTTTATAGTGCTTTCTGAAATAAAAATTTACAAAATGTTCACAATTTTAGATAAAATATATTCTATGAAACTGATACTATCCGCAATGAGGACGCGCGTGAGGCATACAAGATTGTAACAATTAATCTGCAAGTGCGAAAACAAATCCAGCTAATCGAGAATGTTATTATTTGTATTTTGCAGGCAGAATCCGATGTATATGATGAAAGGGGCTTATTAGTATGCTGGATAAGCGGCGGCTACATGCCTCCGGTACTTCGCCATGCACCCTCATCTTTGTGGTCGTTTTGGCACTAACTGGATGCTTCTCGTTTTGGATTCACATCGATGGTTCAGGATCGCCGATCCCCTACTCCAGCGGCGGTGTGGCCGCGCCAGGATATATCCTTATATTTCCCGGAAACGTCACGCCCTCCACGCAGCCCTACTCAATAAACGAACTTCCGTCCGATGATAAATCTACGCTGATCAACATCACGGACTTCAGGTTCCTTATGAACCACAATCCCTGCAACCGTACGCAGCCATTGCTGTTAATGTTGGTTCATTCGGCGCCAGGGAATTTCCCGAAGAGGCATGTCGTGCGAGAGACCTGGGGTCAACAAGCGCCGGACGTGACTTTATTGTTTCTCGTGGGATACTCGGAGGAGTATCAATCCAGGCTCGAGGAGGAGAACAAGAAATACCAAGACTTAATACAGGGAAACTTTCTTGATGCCTACAGAAACATGACCTACAAGCACGTTATGGGATTAAAGTGGGCTACTTATTATTGTCCAAGTAAGAAGAGAACGGAATTCCATCTCCACCGTCATAGTTATATAACTCGATTTTATTTCTTTTCAATTTACGATCATGTTGCTTTTTTATATTTTGTATCAGATATCAGACATTAAAAATCTCGGAACAATTTTACAACGATATGAATAACAACCGAGTTAATTAGATATCTGCTTGATTAAGTGTAATTTCCTTCTTGAAAATCTTTCTTGAAGAGAACACACGATCTTTATCTTTTTCTTTTCCAATTTTCCTTAATATTATGTAATATTAGCCTTATGTAAGGCTATATTATGTATACCTGATTTTGACGTTGTTCTCGTATTTTGTTTCAGGTGCCAAATATATTCTTAAATTAGACGATGACGTTTTTGTTCATTTACCGGCCATGCTGGACTTTCTTACGCATGGCCTTTCGCCGTGGGGTGCAAGACGTCTGATTCTCTGTGATCTTCTGTCGGCTTCCGCAGTGAAGAGATCTTGGCGCTCGAAATGGCGCGTCTCTCCTCAGGAGTATCCCGGTAGACTTTATCCCACGTACTGTGCCGGATGGGCGATCTTATACTCCCCCGATAGTGTATTTATACTGTACCGCGAGGCCCAGAAGCAGCCGTACTTCTGGATCGACGACGTGCACATTACCGGGACACTGGCTAGGAAAGTAAATTTAACACAAACCTCATTACACTCTTGGGTGCTTACGACCGAGAGCATGCGGGACCTGCTGTCGAACCCGAGCGCTCGACGGGATTTTCTGTTCGGGCCTCCGGATCTAACGGAGAGCGGAATACGAGCCTTACATAGTCTGGTTACTAAACCACGGCCTAGCAGTGAAAGCCTATTGAATTAAAAGTTTAATAGAACAATTTCATTATACTTGGTCGCCGTAATGCGAGGACCGAAGAAAGGAAGAGAGGTACGAATAGCGAGTGTTCTTATACTTTCTGCGTATCTTAATTCTACATGCATCGCGGTATGCCCTGTACAACAGTTCAACCTAAGTGTTCGATTATTTGCACAATGTACAAACGCCATGTTATGTGTGACACGTACGTAATAGTGCGTTACATATATATGCATATGTGTGTGTATATAGATATAGATATATATTATATGTACACATACAGATGCGGCAAACACATATGCATGTGTAACAAAATATTACGCGAAACTAGCAATTGTCTAACTTAAACAAGGAATGAAACGGGTATAATTTCGGTGATTTCAATTTCCCGTAGATATCAAGAGACACAGTCGTGTCTCGCGCCAAGTCACGGCCAGCAAACAGCGAGGCGGAAACGTGTATACTTATATGCAATTCGCCTAGTTCAGAGTACTTTAAATTATCTTAGAGTAATGCCTGGACCGACCGAGTTCCTAATATTTGGAAAAGATCCTTACGCCGACCGTTGCATTTACATTGTCGCGATAATACATAGGGATCAATATCACGCGTTTGTGGCATCCGAACTCGGCGGAATAATACCGGTTTCAATTCCTGTATTCAATTATTATTTATATTCGGAAAATACTCAGATATATAGTGTAGGTTTATCCGCGTTATATTTACTTACTAAATTGAAAAGGCTCATTTCTCTACTCGAGACTGTCAATCTGTAATCAGGGCTTGTAATCAAATGTTGTTTTAAATAAAACTAATTCCGAGGACGTTCACAATTTTACATTCTAGGTTTTTTAAATTTTTAAATTATAATTGTATGTATTTTTATAATTATGACATGAAGTAACCAATTGTTTACACCACAATTGTAGTACTTGTAATTATATTGCAATACCTAAGTTTTTGATGTATAGATTGTATTATTTTATCAGTCATTTGACTGCTGTGTAGTACGCACGCACACACACACGCACACGTATTTATAAATTTCTGCGTTAAATGTGGAAAGCGAGAACAAATATTTTATTATTGCAAATCAATTTGTAGACATCTATTTGTAAGATTTTTCGCGATATTTTACTTGTATATATCTTCGATTATATGTGACGAATGATTATTACTCGGTTTAGTAAATTGCTTACGAGCCCTGATTATCAAGTGAATTGAATTAAGTTAAACTTGATATTTTGTGCAACCTTCGAAATATTAATTTGTTACTCTAAAAGGACAAAACATCAGCTATTTTTTTATTTACACTTATAAAAATGCCAACATGTATACAGGTGACCCTCGAATAACACGGTACTTGAATTGCACGGCGTCTCGAATCTTCTTAGTCGTATTGCTCGATTCCGAACGTCGTGACTCCTCTGCATATATCTGTGCGTCAGATCTACAATTTAAGCCGATTTCGCTATCTATAGACGGGTTCTCGTGGCAAGACTCCCGGTGGGTTGCCATTACTTTTCGAGTCTCGAATAGCACGGTAAAAAATTGTGTCAGTCCTACTTTTCAAATTTTTTAGTTATTTTTTTTATAATTCCTTGAAACTAAATGCTCAATTTTATATGGATCTGCACACAGTCTTGATTTACACGGTTTTCAATAACATGGAACGTGATCTTGTATGAACCTTAAATCTCGAATAACATCAATAATACCAATAACACCAATTATTCGAAGATTACCTGTATATAAATATGGGAAGGATAGTATTAGTATTGAAGAGGGCGGCGAAAGTTCAACGCGAAACTTGCGTGTCTCGCGTTCGGAAACATGCTCCTCTCGCAGTGATAGAAATTTGCGAGAGATTGAGCGTGTTACTTTATTGTAAATTTATTAATTGGCGACAAGCAACGGAACTTCATTGTGGAGCCACACTTGTGAATGTACTTAAATGTAATGTAATAACAAGGAAATTTTAAGATATTACATTGTTACGCAAGAACATTAACGAGTCGGATTAATATTGTTACGTAGCAACAAGTACAACCCCAAAACAAAGGGTCCACTCGCAATTAGATACAGAGATCGCAGATATTTGTCCGTTTTTGAACGTCTATAAATTTTTTATGTGAAAATCCGTTGGTCATCACGATTGTATCCGGTACTATGAAAGTACGTGCCTGCAAAACTGTAACGTGTCAAGCGTGAAAAACGTGCTAGCTTTTAGTTACCGTGATTTTTTTAGGGTCGATAGTGATTCGCATTGTACTGTCTTCTTGTTTTTTTTTTTTTTTAATCTAAAATACAACGAATGTGTATACGGAATAAAACACACAGGATTCCACCCGTCAGCACCGTACTCAGAGCCGAATCTCCTGTTGTGATATAACAGAGACGGGAGAAATTCGGGCTCTATCGTCACTTCAAGTATTAATTCGCAAATTCTGGAACTGGGCAATATATTCATATTATATTATAGCATAAAGAAATTGGTGATTATTAATTACTAAAGGATCTCACGCATTATTCCTCTATGTATGTTCTCGAACGTTTTTACTCGTTACTGAGTTCTTCTTTATACATACCATTGCATGTTATCACGTATCATTTTCGGAAAGAGGGAGATATCCCTATTGCGATAATATCAAGTATCGCATAGCATAATATAATTCTTGTGATGGAATAAATATACTTATAATTTAAATAAATAATGGAATTATTTAAATTACACGGTGTATTTTTCATGTTCATTCGTATTGGCTTTGCGTAACTTTTATTCGTTTAGCGAACAAAGATATATTTAATAATCGTAAACAACATTAAATATATAACTTAACGTGAAGAAGCGTACGCAGAGATGAGCTCAATGTCAAAAGTAATGAATGAAATATATCACTAATAGTCTAAATGCAAAATTAGAAATTAAATATACAATTATTACGTGTATATAAAAAGAGTTGCGTTATAAGTGTTAATTAGTGATCACTACATCTGTGATAATTGTAGAGTTAGATGAGACAATCAGATATTACGACTGAATAGGGTAACAAGAATATATATATAGAAGTAACGTACAATCGGATATATACTTTATTGGTCCAGCTGTTTAACTACGTAGAACTATTTATAAAACTTTACAAAATGCTCAACGTGTTGCAATAAGGGAACCTTGCTTAGGTATATTTACAAGGCAACGGAGTTACGCGATTTCTAACAATCGATTGACGACAAAGCTGTTATGCGATTAACGTGATTACCGCAGGTTCCTTGAGAACATTTATTACAATTTCGTGATATTTCGGATTAAGATATTTTTCATCGTAAACGCAACGTGATTGTGCAAGTACCTCCAAGCTCGGATTTTGATCTAACTAGAAAAACTCGCTACACAAATCTCTCTCAAAATGTGAATATAAAATTGAACAAAATTTTTAATGTCATACAAAATCATTGTGAGGAACATTTAATTCTTCGTGCACCTATATCGTAGACACATACGCAATTAATTCTGAAATTAGGTCATCCTGAAAATTATAATCTTTAATATAAATGGTAATTTACGAATAAAGTAGCATACAAATGATCTCTTATTAGATTTTAATGATAATTTAATAATCATGATAGGTTTAATAATGTAAAAAAAAAAAGCACGTTTTGTATAATATATATTACGCGAGCAAAATGTACCATACAAAAGTATACCATGATATTATGAATGATGATATAGACATAAAAGTAATTTATAAATAGCGTCAAATTTGTGAATTTATTACTACCAGCATTATTGACGTAATGGTTTCATTAATTTTGACAGTAATAAATTCATGAAAATGCATAACTTTTAAATTTACCCTTTTGTTTCCTTCAATTCTTTATGCACCTCGTTAAATCAAAACACATGTTTGTACATATAAAAAAAACGAAAACCTAAATTATTTTTGTTCAAATATATTTCTTGCTTTTACAAAATTTATTAGTAGTCAAAACATTATATGTTTCATAATTGCAGTACAGATAAACTACTATTAAAAATATTGCTAAACGATCAAATTGGTGCAAGGAGTGAAAATAATTCGTAAATCTTTTGAGTATTTTACGTTATGGCGACATAAGCGAATCCCATGATTTCTACCAAAATCGTTTACAGTCCGAGGTGAACTATTTGTCTACCGTGTAAAATTCGTTAACAAACGATTTAATGATCGCGAGAGATTAGGAAAAAATGTCCTATCATTTACAAATGTCCCGACAGAACACGAAGACGTTTAATCTCGTCGATTAATTCGTAAAATTACCACATGCGATTTTTCCATTGCGTGCGTTCATCGAAAATCGAGACTCGATTATATCCTATAAAAATTGGCAGTATACAAACAATTCATCACATCAAAAGTTAATGTGTATATATATATATATATATTTTTTTTATATTAAAAAAGGTCTCGTAACGAACGTTAAGATTGGTAACGTTTATGTTGATTCTTATATATATTGATTCAAAGAAATCGGATACCTTAATTGTTCAACGCGACTAAGAAATACTCTGTAACATTATAGACTACAACTTTTACGATCTAACAAACTCGCCGCTTGACACGCGTCGATAATTACACGTAGTAAAAACAGTTTCGCTCTAATGCAGGGGCACATCACGTTCTAAATTCTATCGTGCGAACTGCGGCACATATGTGTCGAAAGGAGTCCACAGTTCCACACCGTGAAATATCTTTTGCGTTATTTTTGCGGATAACGACGTGATAATGTAATACAATTTTACATGTAATAGAGAAAGTACGGACGTACAGCTATTTAAACGTGAAGAATGGAAACGACGAGAGATTTAGCTCTTCATTTACCTGATCGTTAAACGATATAAATTATGTCTGGGGAACCTGACTTTGGCCCCGTATATCGTGCGCCCCTGCTCTAACAGCTTTAACTTCCTAATTTATATCACTTAGTGAACTCGGGAGAAAAAATCGTGGCCCACATACGGGCCAAGAATAGGGATTGCGTTAAAAAGAGAAAAAGGAAACGTGTAAGCTGAAAAGGATACGTTCTGATTGACTCTGATATTTCCCAGACGAGACGTCACGTGAATTGAAAATCGTTCGTTTCGTGAATCGGAGATTGTTCCACTTTTCAGAGATTGAATCAATACGGCGGTGCGTATTAATTTAATTGGATTTCATTGTATATATATATATAGGAAATTCTATTCTCTGTAGATTTCCTTACGTAATAACACTGCCCAAACTATGACAAATTCAACTACGAGTTCTATGTAATCTACATTACTTACTACTTTCTTACAGTCGGCAAACACCTTCGCGATACTTTCTACCGTTTCTCGACGATCGAAATCAACTGCGGCGAGGAGATGCGGCACGATGACTCGTATCGTGTGTAATGATTAATTTCGACATATAGCAAGGTGCGTCATACGAGAAAGTAGGAATAATTAAATTACCGTCGTTATAGCATCGTCGCTCACATTATTATAGATACCTAGAGCACTTAATATTCAGGTACTAATTATGTTACCGTAAGGTGATTCGGGATTATAATTAGCTTTACACGATGAATAGGAATAGAGCCGACATTTCGTGATAGCACATATAGCATAATACGCCGTAAATGGTTTTTTTTTCAATGATGAATACGAATTGCGCGCGGATACATAAAAATAAGAAGAGCACGGCTGTTTAACGTATTTTAATCCTGAATGAGAACATATATGCATATAGAATATATGCATATGTAAAATGACGTACCTATTTTAATCCTGACTGAGAATATATGTAAATGAAATTCCTTCATATATATATATATATATATATATATAGATTCTTAAACAGGAATCTATACGTATATGTGAAAGAATTCCTCACAGTCGTAAAGTCCCAATGTCTAATTGAACGAAAGCGAGAAATCTGCAACTAGGTACGCAAAGTCCATCGATTCGCCCTAATTTATTTACCTACCGCTCGCGAAGATCCCCTCGCGTGCGTCCGACCGGTTTTCGCTCGCTCGAAAAGCGTCCGCGCGATGTTTTATACCTATCAATATTTAACGATTACCTGCGGCGCGGGGCGTTTCCGGAGACCAGCTCCGTGCGCTGTACATATATTTCCATCTATCGAGAAATGACGCGTCTGCTTTTAATCACTTACAATTTACACGTGTGCGTGCACATATATGTACGTATATATATATATAAATGTCACGTCGAAATTCTATACGACAGGGAAGATATCAGTTTGTGAAATATTTGCGCAGCCGACTAATCGGACAGTTAACGTCAAAGTGGAAACGGATACGAACCTGCCGCGAATTCAGACTAAAACTCGATTCGTCCATTCGTCTCATTCGAAATGCAAATAACGAGGGGATGCTCCAGGGCCAAGGAGGTGATCCGCGTTTAAGGATAATGCATTCAAAACTGTTCGCTATTCTCCGTCACGGGATGTGGATAACGACTCTGGCGACCCGCGCGAGAAGAGTCGAATGGAAAGGTATATTTATATAAATGAAATGAGGAAACCCATTCGACTATTCTTTCGCTGCAATCGTCAATCGTGTTTTTTCTAGAAAGAATAGGAATAGCATTCTTAAAGTTCTTCAAGGAAAAAGAACGAAATTTTGATTACGACTTGCCACGACTTCGCCGTTGAATGTGCGTTTAGCCAGCGGACAGTCGTTTCTTCGGCAGTTAATACTTGAAACAAGCGCGTCGACACGAATAAATACTTTCCTAATACGCGCGCAATACACTTCAATCTCGTCTATTCAATGGAGATTTTGCTAGCTAATTCAATTCAATAGTCGATCGCTAACTAGGAGAACAACGTAGCAGGAATGTTTCTAAAGAGCGATGTTTAACTGTCATTCCTCCTTGATTTACGATCGCATGATCGTAGCCAACGCGCGCGCATGGTACGACTTGCGCGCAATTATTTCCTTTTTCATGACCACTATTTTACTTCCCGCTTATGCTTGCAACTGCGCGCTAGCTTTTACGCTAATGGTCCCCAACCTTCCTTCAAGAGCCACCTTAAATTTTCCGGCAAATTAGACTTACGCGACGGACGCGAAGAATAAGAAAAAAGGGGGGAAGGTAAGCCAGCGAATGGTGTGTAATAATAAAACGTGATACAGCGCGACGTAAATTATAAAAAGAAACGCGATCCTCTGCTCTTTCCCGATGCGATCCTACTTCCGGAGCGTGAGAAAGACAAGAAGGTAAAAAAGCTTTTACAGAAGCTTCCTGAGGCTTTTGTACAAGTCTGAAATCAATATAAACTGTTCATGCAGATCGCGTCTCGATGAAACGTGATAGCCGTGTCGCCGTTACCGACCAACTATGCTGCAAACGCGAAATTTAAAATCCTAGGATGAAACGAACGTTGCCGAGCTCTCTGGTGCCATTAGCCTAATATGACGCGCCGACAGGAGGGTCGTCGGGTGAATCCCATCATCTTACACGCTGGTGGTGATCTGCTCTATGACGGTGATGTCGCGGTGGCGACGCGGCCGGGTCCGGTACGGGTCCTGATGGCCGAGACCCTCCGGCACGCTCTTGCTGGGCCTCAACGGCGCGTGGTGGAACTGCGGATGGCAGTAGTGGTCGACGATCGGATGGTGGTCGTGCACCCGCTCGACGAAGTCGCGCTCGCGCATGCCGTCCTCGACGTCCAGCGGCACGTGGAGGGACTGCGACTTGGGCAGCCGGGGCCGCGGCGGCGGCGGGCACGCGCACGGCGGTGGTGGCGGCACGATGCCGAGGCTGGAGAGACGCGGCCCCGGCAAGACCGGCGACGCCGGCTGCCGTCCCCAGCCGACCAGGAAGAGGAGCGCCGCGCCGCACAAGGAACTCAGCGTGCACGCGTAGTAGCCCACCCGCGGGCTGCTCGCGTTCATGTAACCTGGGGGAGGGACGACGGAGGTGCGATTAAAAACGCCGTGTAATCTGTCGCGCGCGCCTCTCAAGGAGGGCGAAGGGTTGGGCGATGAAAAGGGAAGACGAGACCGGGATCTTGGTCTCGCAGGGATAGGACTCGGAGGTGGAACTTTATTTCCGAGAAATTATTTCTAAAGATTCTTAATAGTTTCGAAACCCATCAAACTAACTGCAGTGAAATTATATCGATATAATAATTTCCTACTCAACAATGTAACTGTTATGTGCAAATATATGCTCTATTACAAATACATACATTTATATTATTGAGTAGAAAATTATAATATTGATGTTATGTCAGTATTAGTTGGTGTTTGCTGGGAAGGAAATTTGGGTGAAATTGGTACGTTGAATTTGACAGAGTTCTCTTCCATCGTCTCCGCTCTTTTAAATACACTAGAAATAATCTTACGATAATGCTATTTTTGAAAACAATCTAATCTTGCAAATGAAAGGTCCGGAGAAAAAACGTTACGATCTTGTAGTTTGCAAGTTGTTTATTCTAAACATGAGATTGTTTCTAAAATGGACCTTACGAATTATTACGAATCTCGGGAAATTAATGTCCTTGATTTGCAACGTCAATTATCAAATTAATGTCACTCGTCATCGTCGTAACTGTTACTTAGATATTGTACGCTGGTAATCTGATATATTTACAAGAAAAAGAAATTTATTTTATTTAACTCATAAAATGGATTTTCCCTTAAAACGCTGTTACATGCCGTTTTATTGTCTTTATACTTCTTAAATTTAACGTACAATTTCGCGTGGACAATATTGTAGCAGCGGCGAGGAAATTCCAAAATTACGAATTAATGAAATTTCAACGACTGAATTGTCGCTCCAGAATCCTCTTAAGCTCCTCAAAGTGACCGAAACTTGCAATTCTCGTACAGTAACGTTCGTGTCTTACGAATATGCGTGACAGTTGTCATGCTTCCTTGAATATTCTCTCTCCGGAAAGGAGAGGCTAGAGGAGTGCATTTCCCACGTCCCGCACGTTATTATTATTAAGGACGCCGGCATTAAATTCATACACAGGGACCGTAAGACCATTAGTAGGGACGGATTTAGCGTGCGGGAGAGCGGATTTCGCCCACCTCGGTGGTTCTGAAGTTCTAATACTGTTGTACGGACGTTTGAAAGCATGAAGAATCTGCGTTTAGGAGTAAGTAACTACGCGCTTTATAATAGATACGATGCAAAGCCGGAGATATTATGTAGAAAGCGGTATTTAATGGCTGCGGTTACTTTGTGTAATATCCGTCGTCAACTGAACGTAAAAATTCGTCTCATATTATGCGAGAAAAAAGAGAGGAATTTAGACAGAATAAATATGTAAGGGTGTCTTCCTTTTCAAATTTAAGCTATAACATCGGGTTTTACAGAGAAAGAAAATTTATTTTATACACGTAAATATACTTAAGCCTGTAAGTGTGAGCTTGCGTTTAGATAAGAAGTAAAAAGGTCGTTTTCACGTGACCCGTCGTAATGATCCGCGAAATAAATCAAGAATGACCCCCGAGGACCTTACTGGGCACCAGCATAGGTACCTAAAATTTCGTATTTCCTGCGCGTACCTGTGAGAGGAACTCCAAGAAGGATGGGTAGGGCTTCCGCGGCTTGCACCAAAGCCCACGATCTGGCGAAGTGTCTCGCACGCAGCCTCTCCAGGGCCAGCATCTTCAGGGAGTAGAGTGTGCCGCCGAGCGAGGCGCCGTAGAGCGCGGAGGCCAGCACAAGTCCGTGGTAACCTTGCACGCTACCAAGCGCCACTTGAGCTACGGCTTTAAGCAGAGGGGAAACCTAATTCGAATCGATAATCCTTGAGGCGTGATCCTTGAATCTACAATTCCTATAGGTCGTTCGCGCGCAAAATTCGTGCAGCACGATTTCCCAGCTTGTGTTTCCCTCCTACGCGCAATTCCTCTCCCGAGTAAAGGCTTTTCTTACGTGTGCACAAACTCACTTACTGAATGTCAAATCGACCTGTGTTTCTCTCGCACGACTCGAATCGTGCTCCACAATTTTGCCGGGTTCAATTTTCATTTGAAAGGGAGCTTTATTGCGGGGCCTTGTAGCGAAAAATAATCTATTTATATAGAGACACGAATAGCCCTTTTCGCAGTTATACGTCCCGATAAACTCAAGATCAAAGTAAATAATCTACAGCAGAAACAGGATATAAATTCGGAAAATTCCATATAAACGCTAAAGAGTATGAGATGAGATAGCTGGAAAAAAATGCAACCGCGTTAGATCGCACGTTGCCATTGTCAACGCGATGGGACGCAAGCATCTAGCAATTTGAACTTGTTTACGGTCAACTACGGGCATGTATGCGAAAGCGACCGCGAGATGTACTGACCAACCCCAATGAGTGCCGCTTGACAGAGATATTGCCTGGATACTAGGCACTGAGCGGAAGGTCTGACGATAACTACCCCCAAAGCCGCGCATCCGAGTGCCGCCGCCAGGCCCAGAAAGGTCTGTAGCAGTACCAGGGCGCTAGCCTCCAGTCCGTCCTGGTAGCCTTGCAGAGCCTGTAAGTGATGTTTCTCATTAAGACTGCGGGAAAGAACGCGCTATACGGATCGCCACGATAACGCGGACAATGACGCCGGTAACGACGCCCCGTCTAATATCGATTATCGAAATTGGCCCCGTCTATCCCCCCGAGATTACCCCGGAAATCGAGAAAATTAGGAAACTCGACGCTCGCTCGATTCTGCGTCATTAAACCCTTAGCGGAAATGCCACGTGATGTCAAATTGTCTCGCAACTTGACTTTCGGGTGCATTTGATGAATATTCTATTGCCGATTGAAATAAAATGGCTCGGACGACTTTTCTCTTTACGATCCGTGTATCAAAAAGTACCGGTAATTCTTTCTCTATAAGGTACATTTATTACGGAAGAAGAAATTTCGAGGACGCATCGAAAGACAAAATTGATAACGCGAAATGGAATAAACCGTTCGTGACTTTTACCACGCCACGCCGAGTCTCTGGAGAATAGCGACCGTCGGGAGAGACGTTATCAAAGAGGGAAATCCCTCTCAATCACCGAGTGCACTTACGATATAGAAGGCGGGGGTGTAAAGACCGAAACCGGCAGCACCGGCGGCCAGCATGAGCATTCTCACGGGACGTGATCCCAGAGGACTCAGATCGACCAACGGCTGCCTCGGTACCTTGGTCCCGGATTTCTTCTCTTTGACTTTGCCGCGCTGATTCTTTAGATGCAGGATGGCTCGCCGCTGAGGATGGTACAGCGAGGCACTCCGGTAAATCAGCCCCAGGAAGAAGGCCAACGAGAGCGCTCCGGTTACCGATTGAAGTCCCAGTCGCCAGCCCAGCTTCCTGCAGGTAGATACAGCACGATTACGATCGCGCATCAGGAAACGCCGAATCAGCTGACGACGGTATACTGCCGGCTGAGTTTTTGCGCTCTCCGTTACGTCCCTTAGCTACGTTTTATATTACGAGTGAAAACCTGAAAACTACTGCACTTGCATTTCTGAGAGGAAATTTTCCGCGAGGCGTTTCTCCGCGTTGCAGGTACACTCGCCTTTTCACTCGCGAATCGTCTTCAAACGTTAGAGAAAAATTTGTAATATTTCAATATTTAGCTGATTACGTTTGATACACGAAAATATAATTTGTTTGATACCTTGGAAATTACAGTAAAACTAAAATACATTGTTCGTTAAATATTTAATTTATGATGCAAATATATCATGCTCCAGCATGAAAGTCGTTTAAATTATAATAGATCACAAGAAGAGATTGTGCCCGATTTTATCGTCGTTATCTCGGTGTGTAAAAATGAAGTACTTTTTTAATCAAAAAGATATAGATAATCTTATCAGAAAGTAATTTCGGAAAAATTTTCGCAAACAATTACTTTGAGCTAACGCGAAGTCAATGAACGATGAAGATTAACGACTAGATTTTTGAAGCTCAATCATACCATTACTTTCGTACGATTTCTGCAACTTATTACAAAAATTGTATAATAAAGTGACTTTTGATTTATGGCGCACGATGTTTCCAAATTATTTCGTTACTTCTTTTCGAGAAGTTATGAAATTCGCATTTAACGCGAGCGCATTGTCAAGCAGTATTGCCTTCGAGGAGAAACATCCATTTACTTTTGCTGTGTTATTTTCTTTCATCAGAACTTTATTAAAGAAACGTTTAGAAAGAAGCGTTAAACCTGACAAGTTTTAATACTCTGCAAACATTTAACGATCTTTAATATTTTCACTGCGCAGTGCGAACGTTAGGAAGCTTTATTTATTTCATTATTTAGCGAAACAAAGTAAAAGTACAAACGAGGTAAAAATACTTGAGCCAGGTGACAGTTAAAAAAAAAAAGTACGTAGACATATATAAACAAGTAGGGCATATGAATCGTCGACCGACAAATTATAAAGTTGGGATTAAGAGATAAAAAGCAATTAAAAAAAAAATAAAAAAAGCCAATGCATCAGCACATTTAACTTTAGGCAAAATTAACCCGCTACGAAAACATAATTTTTTAAACACTCCCCCGTGTATATATATAATATAATTACAAAGTTAACTCTCTCGTCTGTTCCGGTTACTAAAAAATACAAAGACGTATACTTTTCTAATAAATCATCTGTATTTTTTGGGATTTTTCTCTTCAAGTGGAATACATACAGACGCCGTATTCTTCACGTTCAGCCGTTTGCACGTGAGAAAGGCGAATGTTTGCAAATAATAGTGCGGCTCGCGAATAAGAAGATTAAAATAAGGGATAAAACTAAGTTTCTACGAAATGTATGTATTCAACATATTATATGTCGGTACGTGAGCGAAAGTTGCGTTTTAATCCTCCCTCGACGTAAGGATAATAAGACCTCCACCCCCGGCTCTATGACTATTCATAATATATATCCGGTAGGTATACGTTTTTACATGGACACGAGCTGTTATCTTTGCGAGCGGAGCGGAGCGGCTGAAATTTATTTTCCGATACGCGCGCCTTCCCTCATTCGCGCGCTCCCTATCTCCCGCGGGTGGAAACGCATATTAAATGTTTATCATATATATTCCCGGGGTCAGAGATGATGACGGTTCGGTAACGTACGGCACGTGTAATAAACCGCCCGCCGCGCTGGCCACCCCCGCTCGGTCAGCCGGTCGATGCGTTCGATATGTTTGTGACAGAGACGGCGAATTATTCGGCAAAAAGCCGGCTCGCGGCACGTTAAAGCGTTGTTTTAATGCTCGCGGGTTTGTCGTTATGACGGAATTTTATATAATGTCCGCGAAATCTTTTTTGCGTGCACCGCATTGCCGGACAATCATGTATAATACCGCGCCCCATCCGTCGTTTTATGCCATATGCGTACGGTAAAGTTAAACTGTGTGTTGCATGCGGCATAATGGGGAAGGGTGAACAATTTATCACGTATCCGGCGTATATGATTACAAATATTGCCCTGTTGCCCTGGAATTTACGGTAACGTAAAAAGGATGATCGATTTCCAAGATAAGACACGCAATTCCGCGGAAATAAATTCTGTCCGGTTTAATTATATTATTCTTTATAATTATTACTTCGCTCAAATAAATATTATTGGGCAAATTGATGGGTCAAATCATATGAAATATGATGTGCAACAGAATGGGTAACGAATATGATGTGCAACGGGAATGAATATAGACATTTCGGCAGTTTATTGCGTGTAATTTAATTCGGTATGTATAATGTTTAATGAGTCGACAAAAATAATTACTGAATCGTATAATGTTCGGCTATCTTTTTAATGTACTTTTCACTGTAAATTAATGGATAATTCGTTGTTGAACTTTCATCCTTTGAGTTTGGAAAGAAGTGCCATTCGCTGCTTTCCAACCACAAAGAAGAAGAGGAGGAGGAAAAGAAGTATGGAAGTGTAGAAAAGATAACATTTGAAAAAACAAATCTAATGTCACTACCATAGTCGTAGAAGAAATTCGCCTAGTGAACAGCATCCGCAATGCAGTGATTCCAGCGCGAGATAAAACATAGATATCCGCAACTAGTTTTTATGACAATATTAATTTACCGGCAAACGCATTTGGCTCTCGAAAAACGTTTGCTTGAAACAAAATTGTAAAAGCGTAAATTACAATGAATTGTATTGATTTTATCAATTTTCCATATGCAACATAAATTATTTTCCAAAATCAATACAGCCGATTTAAGCTCAAGACGATAAAAACTCTGAATAATTCCCTTCTGAATTTAAAATGTTGAGGGAAAAAAAGCAAAATATTTAAAGAATACTTGTTCGTTGTTTAACGAGCTTCTGCGTTATATTATGCATCGTTTCCATGCTAATTTCTTTTTATCGCGCATAATACCGCTCCGAATATGTTTCAAGATATTTCCGTATTTTATATCGTAAATTAGCCCGGTATATCGCCGACCTGGGCAAACTTATCCAGTTATCGAGTAACCCATATATCGACTTAGCGAGTTACTCCAACAACCTGACGATATTATGTTCGTCGGTCCAGAAGAGCCCGATCTCTAATTGGACATGCTTTTATACCTAACAGAAACTGCCACATAGCAACGGCAATTAAGTGCACGTTTAATAACCCGCATGTATAACCATCGCCGCATTTTGTCTACATAGGTACAGGTTAACATACACGAGAGTTAAATCACGGTAAATATCTCTCCCTCGTCGACAGAGGAAATTCAACCAACATTTCATTAATTTAATCTCTCCCCAATATAATTCTACGAAAGAAAAATTACGTCGCTATGTTTATTTTTATACTTTTGAGAAAAGTAAAGCGCTACGTGTGTTGTTTCGTTAATATATATAATTCACCCGCTATTTGTGTACACAGTTATAAAACTGCCTCAAGTCCTTTCAACTACGCGGTAGTCGGAAATTAGAGAACCGCCGGCCGTCGTTCTAATATCAAAGCACACGTCGATCATTTAGTATTAAAAATTAAGAGCTTTAAGTGACGATTAAAGCCGCGGTAACCACATCTCGCTCTTTAATTAATTTCAACATGACTTTAATAAGATTCCAGGCGTAATTTTAAAACGCGCGTTAAAAATTGAAAGAAATTAAATGGAAATAGCAGGCAGGTTTCACCGAGGATAAGCCGGACTAATCTCGTCGTAGAATCCCCGATCGCGAAAGCGGACGTTCGGGGATCCGGGATACAACTGAAAATAATTTGCCGAACACTCACGGATAATAGATCAATGATACTAACAAACGCCCGTGGCAAACTCCAAACGAGTTATTTCGATAGTCGGCGGAGGCAAAAGGGGAGGGACGCGCAGAGAGAGAGAGAGAGAGAGAGAGAGAGAGAGAGAGAGAGAGAGAGAGAGAGAGAGAGAGAGAGAGAGAGAGAGAGAGAAGGGCCGGGACCAAATAGAACGTTCAATTATTCTACGTCGAATCTGTTCGCTGTTTTTGTGCACAGAAACTGTCGTTGCGCCCCGCAACGTCCGTACGTTTCGGGGGAAGGAGGGGGAGGACATGCAGTCGCGCGAAAATCTACGATAAAAGGGTGGCGCGCACTGAAAGCAGTTTTGTCCGTATGTTACACGCTGCCGCTCGACTTCTCCTCGTACGCAATTTGTTTCGGGAGTCATTGTCGTCAAATATCGTTACTACTACCAGCGAAATTCATCGTTTTCGAATACCACTTTCACGGAAAATAACTGCGTCACGTATGTGGCTTCTGTTTCTATAGGGGGGGGGGGGGAGGGGTGAAATTTATCCGAAAGTATTGTTGCATCTTCTAAAATTTCAATACTTATCAAACATTTTGCTTTTCTTAATCCTTGTTAAAGCAAAATTATTAAGCGTGTTATCCTTTTATCCGTTTCTCAATGATTCAATTTTCGATAAAAATTGAATAGTACAATGTATAGAATTTTTTTTCATCTTAGTTTCTAGGAATTCATTGAAGAACTATTTTGTAGTTCTGTATAGAAACAATATTCAATTAATTAATATGTTTAGCTTTAATTTATTTGTCATAGAGTAAATAATTTTATCTATATCTAATCATCTATTCTCTCGTAAGTTGCATTTTTAACGAATGTCAATTAATTCACACGACCGTGCGACAAACTCTTCCGTAGTAATCATTGACGGATACTTCAAACGCGAACGACGCCGGCCTTCGCGATTTTTCCGGCATCCGCCGGTTTCCGTCGCGTGCGATGAAAAAAAAAGCGAGCGAGCGATATTAAATTTGCATCACGCGCCTACACGTGCAAAGAAATGGCACGACCGAAGGTTAATTGGATCTTCTCCGCTCGACTTGAGCGAATCGTCGGACCGGTGCACATTCCTAAGGGAGCTATAGGCTAATGCATACACATCTCTCCCCCCGCGCGTTCCCCCCGTAATATATGCGATAACTCACCCGACCGCTTCTTTGTAGACGACGCTGAAGAGCACTATTCCCACGCCGGTGCCGGCCTGCACCACCATCTCGACGAACTCCCGTCGTTTTCTGAAGTAATTGCCCAATACCAGACTGGCGGTTTCCCTCACGAGGCCAGCCCCCGTGCCCAGCACCAGACCGTAGCTGTTGCATTTTGTAAAGGTAAATCGTATGACTTTGCAGCGGGAGTTGCCGCGCGAAAGGATATAAGCTGAGGCGATATTTTAAGCGGAAAGCGCGGAGAGTTTCGCTACGCGAAAACGAGTCGCTGACGTTTTCAAAGAAAAACTCGGGCAGCTGGGATGTATTGAGCCGGAAATATTCATTTCTCATCATTTTTTAATATGCCCTTTCCGGTTAAAGAGGTACGGGACGCTATTACGCGCGTTTTCAGCTTTAAAAGCTATTCAAAAGCAGAATTAAACGAGTGACTATTACCATAGAAATATGTAACTCCGCGCATTGCCATATGATACACATAATACGTACAGAATGCATTTCAGAACTCAACAATTGTCAACTAAATTTTCGGTGCGGCAACGTAAATGTTTTTCTTTTTTTTCTTTACAAAGTATTCCCGTTTTAATTTGACGCACGAATATAATCCGCGACTAAAGAGAAATTTAAAGCACAATAAGCGTCCGCATAAATAATTACTCATTTTCGCCGTAAAAAAACAGCTTCGATAATTCACTGAACATGCTATTAATAATTCATCCCTCGCGTAAAAGTTAACAAAAACACTCTCTCATCTGCCCTTCGATTATTTTTAATGCAACATCCATCACAATAATTCTTCGACGGTTAAACGTCGCCTGCATGCAAGTTGATAAAAAATCGACCCTCGCGTCCTACCCATCGATTATTTCTGAACAGCCATCAGCTTTTACGCTGATAAAACCTCCTCCCGGTCGAAAACGTGTCGCCCGGGCGGTCGATAGCTGTAGCATTTGCGCCGTTACGCACCTAAGGAGCACTTGATGCATCTGGACGGCGAACGAGGTGAAGAGCGACGCCAGGGCCAGCACCAGGCCACCGATCACCGCCGTGAGCCTCGTATTGCCACGGCGACACGCGCCGACGACCAGCGGCGCGGAACCGCGGGAGATCGCGGCGCTCAACGCCCCCGCCCACACTGAAACATTCACCCGATAAGAGTCACTTTTGACGGGCTATTAGAGGCACGACTGCCGGAAATCAGCGGGGCGCGATGCTCCCGAATATCGCGCGGTTCCCAATTATCCTGAATATCGCGGCCTCAACCCCCGGCGCGCGGCGCGGACGTTCCGGAGAAGCGCGACGGTTTTATTCGGCCGACCTCTCTCCTCCTCGCTATGGTCCGCGCACAACGGACGGAGCTCGTTTGCTGATTGATTTCGCGTTTGTGAGCGCTAACGAGGAAACGCTCGCAAACCGGAACGTTGTTGCCTCTCCTTGTCCGCGGATGGACGAGACTCGCGCTTCGAAATGGGCGAAAAATAATTTTTCACGTGTTTTTCATCCCCTTGCCGCGTTCGCAGCTCGCGCGCGGGAACCGCGCTTCGCGCTCGGATGCGGAAACAGGTCGAAGACACAAATTCGCGCAAATGTTGTTTCGACACTTTTTTTTTTTACCGCGCGTCCAAATCCACGAAGCCTTTTCGGAAAAATGTATTCATCATCCCCGGTATTACTTTTGCGACGATTAAAATTACGGCCTGAATTCCTCTTACGAAAATAGCGGGCAATTTTTTATAGAAAAGATCTCGTAAAGATTACTCCGTAGGTATATCTCTTGACGCTAAATAATTACGTCGTTACATGATCCATTTTATCTCATTTCGTTATTTAAATTCCAGGCATTTGTTAACCCGCTACCTCGCTCAGCGTTGCGATATAACGAGAAAAATATTTTCTCTTCTTCTCTTGCTTTCTAGGGCTAGGGTACCGTGTTTTCGAACAAAGTCATCGGATTTATCACGCGACTCTTCGTAATTACTCTCAGTCGCGTCGGATTTCGCAATTACGACGAAATCTTTGTAACGTGAACTATGCTAGTTTTCAAGTGACAAGCTAGTTTTCAATTAAATCGCGTTAATTACTGTTTACGACGATAATGCCTGGCTCTCGAATTCCTCGATTGTTTCAAGAAGAGATAAACGGGTCTTCCACCGAAGGCGTTTGTAAAATTAAACCGAAATCTTATAACGAAATAAGATCAATCGTGTGCGCGGAGTGATTTGCGGCGGGAGGTGACGGTGAGACGTGGAGTGGAGAAGGCAATTCGCGGATTTCCCGATCGTAATCCGCGCGGACGCGCGTAAAGATTTATGCAAAACTTCACGCCCTTGTCGCGGTTATACGCGGATGAAAATTCTGATATCTGAAGACAGCGCGATATGCGTCGTGCCCTGCAAACGCGAAAAACGTCGCGGCACGGAATACGAAAACCACGTCGTCAGCCGGTCCGATTTTAATGCGGCAAGCTAAAATTGGACGGGGTTACGTCAATCGTATCGACGTACGTCTCCCGTAATCTCGTAAGAGCATCCGCTTTTTACCCTTTTAACTTGGCGAAGTAGCGAGAAACGCCTCTTTCTTTTTATAAATACATCGTGCCAATTCCTCGCGAACGCGCGCGGCTCGCAAACGTTTCGCATATAATCGTACCCCGATATGCGAAAAACCCTCGAACTCGGCAGATATGAATAATCGCATTCAAACGCATTTATACGATGCGCAAGTTAAGCCGCTATCGTTTTATTTGGCTCGCACAATTCTGTCAATTTATCTATGTGTGCCACCCCCTGTCTAGTTGTCCATTTGTCTACATGTCTAAAACTTCGAGCGTTCGACAAATGTTTGGAGACAGACTCGTGAACAATTTCAACAAAGTTTTACAAAAAGATACATAAAGAAAGTAGTTTAACCGAGTGTAGAATAAGTGGACGTTTGTATTAAAAGACAAATGGAATTTTTCGAAATATTCACAATGTTTATCACGAAAATTACAGTTTTTTAAAAGCTCAGGAGAGTTTTAAAATATACATAATAAAATTAGATTTTTTAGGTAAAAATACTTGAGATAGAATATCTGAGATAATAAATATTTACGGTGATTAAAAAAGAAATAAATTTTTATTGTTAATTTATAAATTTTAAACTTAATTCGGTTGTTTAGATTACAATGTAAAGTAATTAATTAACTAAACGCAAAATTGAATTTTTACTGAGGAAAAACTCGATATAATTAATTGAGAAATTAGATCCTGTCAGTTACACTTTTCGGTGCCAGACTCCGGTTGGGATTTCCAATGTTTTCGATCTAATCGAGCGTTAAATTAAATCCCCGCTTGTATAATAATCAATTTGAATATTTTAAATTACTCGTACATGAAACTTCGAATATTAGTTCGTTAGTTCACTTTAAAAACATAAGACTTTTTACGAAAGAGACTAGGTGCAAATCATGAATAGAGCAAGTTTTTTGCAATTAGATATTTTCTTCTCCGCGAAATCCTATATACTTGCAAATGAGCGGCCGACTTTGCTAAACAGGCGTAAACATGTCCTCGTCGGATACACGAAAGAACTGAGGGAATGACGCCTCGTCGGTGGATATACTCAAGGTGCGATATTACGCCCGAAATGAGAAGCGGAGAAGCATGCATTTCGTCGCTATACGTTCGAATAAAGTCGCGTTAGGAAAATTACTACTTGCCACGCGCCCGTATGTAATTATACGCACATAAACGTACAATGTTATGCCCCGTGGCTTGACATTTCGCACATTTCTCTTCTCGAGCTTTCACGAGACTCGCGTGCACATTTCCGCGCAAATTCGAGAACACCAAGGAAACGCAAGCCATGTGTCAAATAATAATGCAGAAAAAAAAACATATTATATACGTATATATAGAATGTATTATATAGAATGTCAATTTCGAAGAATTTTCTTCCTTAAACATTATATCGACACTTTTCATTAGCAAACTGATTCGCGTAATTTATGTAATCGGTTCATCCATTTTTGCATAGAATAGAAAAGATTCTAAAGGCGAAGCGTTAACGCCTTCCTTATACATATACATATATCCAGCAACGCGCGTAATTCATGTTTAATCTTTGAGCTGAGCACAATCCTGGTGTTAAAGATAAAATCGTCGGATCGATCCTGAAATGAATATGCATTGTCCGGCTTCGTTACGACTTAAAAAAGACTCTCGAAGAAACCTGGATATTGGTGCGGCGAGGCTTCAACAGGTAGCGACTTCGGCTCGACGTTCTTATGCGAATAATTTATGAGTCTGGACGCTTTTAGCGCTATTTGCACAAGTGCGACCAAGTGGACCAAGTGGGATGAACCCTCGCTTAGAATTTCACGGATCGGATTTTGCGAAGCCCTTTTGTACCCAGATTGGATTTGTCCGCAAAATGCTTGCCCTTTTACCGTCCTATATTATTCTCAAGACAAAGAACGCGAGTAAAACGAGGGGCTACTAGCGCAGATAATAGCTGTACAATCTTTCGATACAACTTGTGTCGCACAAGATTCAGGATCTATTGCAGAAATGATCCGGAAGTAACTGGACCGTACTTGAAATTTTCCGAACGTTAAATCATCCCGGTACACCTATCGCATTCCGACCTTTGTCTTCTTTACAGAAAGAGAGTCGTCTTTCGCAAACGTGTTTCTATATTATAAATCGCAAGCATTTGAAAGCCAATACACATCAGGGAGCTTGTGTCTCTTATTGCGTCACGATGATATATGAAAACACGTCATCGAAACGGGGCAGGATAATTTTTCAAAGTGGTGCACGAAACTCCGTCGATGACACTGTGCTTTAAATACGTTCTCGACGAATAAAAGAGCCTTTTCACGACGGTCTTAGCGTAGAGCGCGGCAGCAAGGAACTCGGATAGACGATAGCGTAAAGCCTTTGTTCATACTTGTCCCGATGCTCGTCCGTCATTACATATTTTTCTCATAACACTCAATGACGTCTCTCCTTGCAAAATCGCGCGTATCCCGGCGTGCATCCTCTCTTCGTCGCTTTCATCTTTCAAGAATATTTCAGTAGCAGCGACCGTCGGAGCAAGCGCCGCGATGTATATTTTGACATCGATAAAAGATTGGTCTAACGTTACATCATTTCTCTGCGCCGACCGTTTCAAAGGGTGCCGCGAAAATTACCATTTTCCGCAACTGTTCCGCTGTTAGCGGTGATTGTTGCCTTCTCGCTGGGCAATTGCTGTTATTTCTATGACTAATTGTCGACAGTTCGGGATAAGAAAAATGTTTAAGGAGCTTCGTACCGAAACGTGAAAAAGAAAGCATAAAAGCTTTCCTTTCGGGTACAAGTGATGGAAGATAAATCGCTCTTCACGCATTAAAAAGTCGAAGAGCTCGCTTGTAGTTTGTTAAAGACGTTAAAAAGGACAAAGCTTAAAGAAGAGCTTTCGCAAATAAATGGCAGTACCGTCGTCTTATTCGTCGCTTGGTTTTAAAAAGATTTTAATTTCGCAACAATTTTACTTTGATGCTTTGTTAAATCAGTAAAATATTTAATATTGAGAACCAACAAAATTGTGAAAGAAAACGGCAAGCAATTAAATGTCTAAGAAAAGAATCATCCCGAGTTATAAAAAAGTCCTCCCAATTAATGCTTATTTTAATTATATACACACACATACACTTTTTTATAATTGTCTTATAAACTGAACAAAAATTTATTACAGCTCCGCTAGAAATCATGCTAACATTGCATTTCTCGAAAATTACTAAAATAAAAGCACCAATACTTATTTCTTACCAGAGTACACAGCCCTTATTGCGACAGATAAACAAACTGGCTGCCTATGTTTCGATTGTCCTCGGAAAATAATCGTGAGTGTTTTCCACAATACGAGAGAGATATCTATTATTAAAAAATAAATCTTCAAACAGAAGTTTATCTGTGTTTGATTCCGTGCGGTTTGCCCCGAATCTGTTTAATGTATATGTATATGCGATCAAGCACTCTCTGCGCTCGCCTGATGAAAATTGAAGTTAGTTTTCCCTTAATGAAATTTTAATCCGGCGCTTTTCCCATTTTTACTTGTAATCTTCATTATTTTGATTAATTCTCGAATTAAAATCTTTCTGAGAATAAA